GGACAACATGTGGTGTTGAAATATATTACCCTCGTGACCCATGTTATGTTGTCACTAGGAAAAAATAATTGCAGATAGTGTAATGTAAAGTGCTGTGATTGTGATCAACACAGGGGACGCTCATAAAAAATTGCTTGAGATGCGCCACGCATATGGTTGCCTCTCAAGCCCATACACCCTTGAGGAGTTTGGTTAATACATGTTTATAGTTGGTGTCATCGCAATCAGTCAGGGCGGCGTCATGAGGGGCGGAGCGGAATGAGCACTCTACCAGTAGTGATCGGTTAGGGGCTGACTGAGGAGGAAAACAAACGCCGCAGATGGACTCATTCCATTCCTCTCAAAACCGCAAGGACTGAGTGCGAGCTGAGCTCTATCTACAATGGTATCCACTGTAGATAGAGCTTCATGTACACAGTTGGCAACGTTTTCGAGGTCATGATTTGCTGTCTAATCCCGTATTATCAGGTGAACAATTTTTCGGATTTTGTTAAAGTGGATTTTCCCGTCACCTCATGTTCCTTTGCCTTCACCTTTTCCTTTACACCCTTTCCTAGTAAGAACCACGGACTTCGGTGAAGTTGATGCCACCGCATGGTTCTTCACAGAAACCTTGTACGGTGATAGAATCCGACGAATATACAATTCATCACAGACCGGTACGTTACCTAGGCGCAAATGACGTGTCATTGACGTCACATGGCATGTCAACCACGTGTCTTGATGGCATTGACATTGATACAAGGTTTCTCGTCACTAAAGGATCATGCGATGCGTCATTCCACTAGCATGTCAAATGACCTAACTGTTAACAGGCAACGAACCTTTGCTACACCTGCGCTATTTCCGTGGTATTCTAGTGGGCGGGAACTCACAATGACTGTCTTCCTCTTGGTGCTCCCTTCTTCCGAAGAGTGGCGCGTGAACAGGTATGGCTCAACAGTAGTGAATAACCGCCCATTCGTTCGCTGCGGAATTTCTTTTGAAACATTGCACGAAACAATTCAGTATGTACAAATGTGCTGGCACTTTTAGTCTGCGTTCATACTTTCCGGCAGCGTACAGCAGCGGCCTATAGCGTCCACCAGCGTTCCGAGTGACAGCGACTAGGAAAGTATAGTTATCGGTCTAGCGTCAGCCAGCGTCTACCAGCGTGCGCCAGCGCCTAGCAGCGTCCGCCAGCATCCCGAGAGCTAGAGAAATATAGAACTGGGAACGCTGGTAGACGCTAATGGACGCTGCCACAAAGTATGAACGCAGTATTAAGAAAGAATTCAAGCTGGTGCAAACAGGTTCTTGCTTAAAGGCAAGCCCGCGATCAGTTGCCATCTTAGATAGTGAATTTGGGCTTCGCATAAAGAGGACAAGGTTCAGAGTAACTCAATAGTGAAGAAAAAAGCAGAAAAAACATGCCCAATGTCCTAAATAGGACCCCATTACAATCCTGGTTTGTACGTGCATGCGATGGGGAAACAGCGCTTATGGACGAGCGTTCCACGTTATTGGCTCGCTGCCAGAAGTAGGTGTGGCGCCACGTATGAAAGACTGACCTTTAATATTCTTATTTTTTCAGTGAATTCATCGCATCATAATGTTTCTTTGTTGTTTTTATGAGTTGTTGTTTTGCTTTCAGATCAAAAAATGAGCGATAGTTTTCCTCCAACTTTCGGTGCACTTTCCGGCAATACAGTGCTTTTTGCAATACATTCCAGTTGTACCCCTTTGTGTGCGCTCAGCTGACCCAATACAACCCTACGTCCGTACAAATAACGAAGGGGCTCAAATGTTCATGCTTTTCTCGTCCGAAAACTTGGTTTCTCACTAAAGGGCGGCGCTTGGGAGGCGGAGTCACTGGAAAAAAGGAGGAACCACTGGATCTATTCTGCCTTATAGCGCCCCTCCTGCAGCTTTTTTTTGTTCCGCAGAAACGGACGGTTGTTCGTCGCGATTCGCACTACCCCCCACCACCATATTTCAGACTTCGATACCTGATCGCGAACCGTTTCTTTAATAATTTCGGCTTGAGCTACGACACAGATTTGCTTGTAGTTTGAAGTTTCGACTCCCCTATACCCTTATAGGACATTACAATTATGAAATAGCAAAAAGTTGCGAAAAACATGGAATTGCAAAGATTTCATGCCCACATGTTCGAGGTTTACAGTCTGTGATAACGGTTAGATCTTTCCGCACTTCTTTGATCAAAAAAGATTCCTGTTTCGACTCCGCAGTAGAATGAACACATTCCTGTTGCTCCCGGGGGTCCCGCAGAACCAAGAAATCCAGATTCTCCTTTTAGCCAAGGGGTTCCATCGCCCCCTAAAATGAGCTGAAAAGTGCCGATTTGAAGCACATTATCAATAGGATTCTCCTTCAGAAATTCTGAGGCGTGTTTCAGTTGTTAGGAGGAAACGTGGAAGGAAGAGGAAACAAATTTTAATTTTCCCTGTCCAAAGGTTGTTATAAACGTCCCTCCCGTCTATAAATGCCCGGCTAATAGATATAAGGTTTGTTTTGTTGGTTGATAGCCTCAACCTTGCTCTCAAACGTACCGGGAGATCCACGGGTTCTTTTGGTCCATCCACGCTTGTCATTCTCGTGGCTCACCAGGTTTTCCAATGGGCCCACGAGGCCCGGGGTTGAGCTATTAGTTAACGATGGAGAGGAGCCACTTGGAAACGGCATGTACACAAAGATCAACGATCAAACGACGAGCAAATCAGGGGTCCATTGAATGCTAGTCCACAGTGCCATCAGTATTTTCAACCGTTCCCACCGAATCCTCATTCGGTAGGAGCGGTTGTTAATATTTATTTATCTATTTATTTATTTACAGTGCAGCCCACGGCGCCCCTAAATATGAGGCGAAACAGATGTGTAAATACACATAAGCGGAACCCCTCCAGAGCGCTAAACTTTACAGTCTTGATCCCATCATAGTCAGTATGTCAACCTCCTTAAGTTTCCTACTTAAAAACCAAAAAAATATTATCGCATGAGTTTCACGTACAGTCCCTCTTCATCAAACTCAACACGTCATCCTATGTAGTGCCTCCTTGAGAGTTCGAAATTCTCACCTTTGGAGTTCGTACTCCATTTCCGTGGCCAGAATGTCTTTTAGAATCCAACCCTCTTGTCTGTGAGACGTAGGCGTGGTTGCGTGCTTGATTTGGACATGCAGTATGGATTGGCCGTGGGATATTTCCATTCAAAATAACCATCATCCTGCCTTGCGTTGGACGATGACATGATTAAATTGCCCCAACATGAATACATCCAGCGAAAGCGCAGCTGCCGCTACGTTCGAATGTAGTGCGCGGCCACGCCTACCGCATCTGGGGGTTTCTGGATATGTACAGGATGGGAGCGAATTATGGCAACTGCTTGCACTCGCAGAACTTGTTCGATTTTCTCGATTCTATGTTGTTTATGCTGCTTAAAGCACCTTTTCGAATTGTGGGCTAGCATGGAATACAGTGCTCATGCAGTTACTGGAAATGGTGACCGTCGCAAAAATATCAGTGTTCTCCACCAACGCGGCGGTCCAGCACGCATTCTTCAGAACCTTCTGAACTGAAGCAACATATCGCTCAAAGGGCCATCCGAGTATCTGTGAAATTGGGAACCTCTCTAATTGAGCAGTACGTGCTATGTCAGCATTTGTTGTCTTTCAAGCCATTATCGAGAGAGTTATCGACCGCTTTCTCAACTTAAAAAGTCAGGTGTTAGGCCCGATTCCCGCGAAGAAATAGTTATGAACTTTTTTCATCCTAGTTTTCAAACAAAAAGGGGGGGGGGGTTAGTTGTTTGCTGATGTGACGGAAATCGAGTGTCTTTACCGTTTCCGTAGTCAGTCGAGGTGTCTGAGCAGGAGGGGCGTGATGGCACACCTCTTGCTGCATTTCTTTTGCAGTAGTGATAGTTAGTGATCGATTGAGGAGGTAAAGAACCGCTTGTGAAATATGCTGCATGTGAGTGCATCCTATTCCTCTTATCACCCAGGGCACATCGTTGTTGGGGAATCCCAATAGGGGGGGGTCGTATTTGGCCGCCAGGAGAGGGGGGGTCGTATTTGGGCTGGAAAATTTATTTTGATAGTTGATTTTTCTCGCTTCACGGACGTTGTAAAGGGGGGGGGTCGTACTTGGTCATTGTTGGGAGGGGGGGGGTCGTACCAACCCCCAAAAAAAGGGGGGGGGGTCGTACAGACTCGACTAAAATCCCCAACCAATGATGTGCCCTGTTATCACCGCCTCGACTGTTTGCGGCGACATCCACTGTAGCTAATGTATTCAAAGCCTCCGGCGAAAATGGCAGATGATAATGTTGTGTGTTGACTTCAGTGACTAGCAGATTCTTTTTTCCATGCAGAACCCGAGGTAGTGTTCTTTTCGTCAGATTTGAAGATTGTTTTTGAATTGCTATCCTTTGCACTCAACCTTACATCATCTGTGTACCGGCAGCTGCTCGAGCTTCTAGAGCCATCTCTGCTTCCTTGCGACATGTTGGAGTAGCCCGTGACCCGTTTACGTTTTAGTGACATTACTTGCTCGATGGTTCATGTCCTTTCATAAAAGGCTTTCCAACCAAACCTGGCTTCAAGCTGGCACTTGCTCGAGAACCTCCGACGAGCTCCCTTTGTAGCTCAAAAACTTGTGCGAATTTCCATACGACAAAGCCACTGTGTACACACGACCATAAGCTTACATCCTACAAAAGCGCCCCACAAGAAATGGTACATATGGGTTTTCTTACACTCGCAATTTGTAAGCTTCTAACAGCTGTCTTGTTTTATGGGTACAGTGAGGAGCGAGTTGTGCATTCGCGGTCGCCGCATTCTACATGACGCCCCTGCTTTTCCGCCTCGAATTCGCCGTCGGATTAGATGCGACTGTTGCTTTTCCCTTTCTCTCTTTAGTTCGAATGTTGAGTAATTTTGAGTAAAATGGACAAGCTCAAATGATTATTTCAGAAAACATCCCGTTTATTTGCAGGAATGCCGGCAGTCCCTCGAGTGGATCGCATCAAAACGGTATACAGCGCAGCTAAAGCTCTGCACTATGCCTGGAAGTTCACCGATTTTGTCAAAACGCCTGCTTACAATGGTGTTTCCAGATATATACCTCAACTTCATAGGTGTGTATTTTTCTCCAATTCTTGCTTTATTTGCTTCCCTGTTATTCCCTTGTCGACTATTTTCATTTACCTTCCATTTTTGTTTATTTTTTGGAATTTTTATTTGTTTTCTATCTTTGCCTAGTGATATAGAACCTGGTCTCCATGTCACTTTCCAGCTTTTGCGGGAACTAAATTTCATTCTTGTGGTGTGGGCCACCATTCCCTTAACATCGATCGGAAGAAGCGCTTCGTTTAGATTAGTCACAAAAGAATCTATGATGACTCATAGGAACAGTTTGCTAAAACAGGTTTTCTGCAGGTCACCGCGGCCTTGTGGCTGTGTTGCGAGGCTCCGATGCGCTTTTTTTCGAAAACGACACGAATGCGGTTTTTATACACTTCGCCAGTTGCCTTCATCCACCAGCGCTCTAGGCAACCTTAATCCTTCATTTGAGTGTTCTTCGTATCTTTCACCACAATGTGTCACCTATATTGTTCTCTGCGAATGACAGTGAGACTGAAGAAAATGAACAGGATGTCACCGCGGCAAATCAATCCCTCTTTAACACGCCCCATCACCCGAAATATTTTAGTATGCTTTGCTCCAAAACTAGTGGATTTAAGTTCCAACTATATCCCTTGCACACGGCGTATTATTTGTGAGCTATGTGGCCCGAACTGAGGATGTATTCCAGCCACCCTAGCTTGCTTTTGCTGAAGGAATAGAGCACCTCAAAAGTGCTTTATCAGATTTTGCATTGCAATATAATACAACAGTTGATTCTGAAACAAGCCATTGTAAGTTCCTCATAGACAGCTTTTTCGCACTTTCGAGTATATTGCTGCATTCCGGCAAACACATTTGTGAAAAGTTTGACGAAATCGCATTGATCTGTAGAACTTCCAGGACTGAACAGCAACATGAAAGGCCCGATAGAGCTTGTTTGTGAAGACATTTTCGAACTGGCGTAAAGGAAGCGATAAGGAAAGGGTCGAGAGAATAGGAAAGCTAATCTTTATTTAGCGCAACTCAACTCTAACAACTCATGGAAGCATCCAAATAGTTTTTTTTGTTGGCAACTCGCTTGTTGTTTTCCGTGTGGTTCAGGTGAGAGTGCGGTACAAGACTGATAATTCCATGGGAAACATTCTTTTTTCAGTGAAACAAGCTCAAATGAAGCGACGCTTTGTCCCGCAAAGAACTGGACTAGTTGTTCCGGAAAATTTGCCCGTCATTTTTTTTCCATTGTGTATCTGAACGACTGTATTTGATGCCTCTGAAGCGAACCAAACAGAAAAATAGGATTTTCGCCGATCACACGAATTTTCTGTGTTGGGCTGTAGTAGATATGAGTGAGTTTTCACAGCAAAATGTGTTCCAAACCACAAGAGCCCAAGCAGATAAAGGAACTCGCTAACATAGTTAAGGTTACAACACCAGCGCCTCTCTATTTATACCTTTCTCTAATCAAGGTTACGACTTACCCTTAGTTAAGACTATGTCTGGACTTTCCTACTGCTCTATATCTCGCAACTCTAGTCGTCTGCGCTCGGATCCCAAGCGTTTTCAGTGAAAAGATTCAGAGACGGATCAGGTATCCCTCATCTACGTCAGCGCCCACAGTAGTAGGTGAAGACTTTTGCGGTCTCAACAGTCAATATTCCGGTGATGAAGTGACCAGGGTCCTGGCGTTGTGAGGAACTCTTCAGAGTAGGGCTCCCCCAAAGTTCGTCTTTTTTTGGTACGACTCACGTCACATGCTACTTGCGCTCTTACTATGTTTTCCATTTTCCCAAAATTTTGGTTACGGGGCTGTTGTCAACCAGACGTGCTCTCGCTGCGAGGGTCCAGGGTATTTTCACGAGGCATCTACCAGTCCAGTAGTTGGAGGGAGAAGGTAAAGGAGGAGGGATCAGAGAAGGAAGGAAGGAAAAGAAGGAAGGAGGAAGAAAAAATGAAAGAGAGGAGAGGCTTCTCGGTTGACAAGTGCCCTGAGACGAAAATTTTGCCGTCAGTCGCGGGAGGGGGTGGAGTCGGAAAGCAGGAGAATAGGAGGATACGCACAGAGTAAAGTGTAAGTACCGATGTGGCAGTCGAGTGAATTGGAAGACCGCAAATCGGAAGAACACGTACCGAAAGAGTAGATGGGAACTGGTCGACTCTCGAATCTTCCAATTCGCAAGCAACCTTAATCGATCGATTCCTAGCTGCTTCCTTGACGCGCTTTCCCTGTTCTCCTATTCCAAAGAATCGAAAAGTGTGAACGCAGCCTCGGACTTCAAAAACACATTGGGTTTTCTTCATTTCAATGGTTGATACTTTTTCCAGGATAACTTTCCGCTTCTGTAAGCAGAGTGAAGCAAGCGTTGGTGTACGGAATTTCATTGAGCATAGAATTTTAGAATTAGGTCAGTTCTTCGATAGCTCATATAGATAAGAACAATCTTCTATGAAATATCCTAAGCACTTATTCTACTAATGACTGCATTTCAGGAGCACGCGTACCGTCTGTCGTTGTATATACTCAACCTGTTCGTTTCTCGAATCCTATAATTCGTGCAGAATACGGAAATGGACGAG